GGTCCTTTTGGCTGAAAGATGATATTAAGATACAGAATTATTCATTAGAGGAGGAATGTTCTGCCCAGTACTGTGCAAAAGCAGCTGTAATGAAGCATCCGAGTGTGTGTTTATAAACAGATGTTCTCATCCAAATGTCTTAGAAATAAACATCTTTGTCTCAGAGTCCACTCAAACCACAGAGAGTTCAGTGCATTGAGCAGTGGCTCTGCTCTTCTCCCCAGGCTGATGCCCAACCATACGCACATTTTTTACCCCATTCCAGTGACAGGAGGGGTCTCCACGTGAGCCTGTTTCTGAGGGAGAACATTCACAGAGCAGTACATGGAAGCACATGTCCCGGGTACAGACCCAGAGGCACTGTTGCAGGATTTCATGCTTGGAGAGCCATTCTTGCCTTTATTTGCTACCAACAACCCCTGCAGCCTTCCCACACCTTGTAGCATTTGTGAATAGTCCAACTTCTGCTATTCTGTTTCCCTTGCATGGGATGAAGTGTTTCCTGTGAGCTGTAAATACATTGCATCATTCAAGAAGCACCAGATGACAGTCTTGAGGGCTGTTTTAAATACATCTTTCAAAACCCCATTAGATCAGGGAGGTTGCAGAGAAGTAGCTGGACTTTGTGGAACCACCTCTCAACACTGCATGCATGTTGCATTTTAAAAGATCTTCCGAAATTCAATGTAAAAAGCCTTATTACTTAAAAAAAAAGTAAGGGCAGACTAATTGTGCTTTTAAATCTGTGGGTTTACTTGGTCTTTTCTTCCCCCTCCTCGTGGAAGGATCCCCAGATCTGCATTTCAAAAAGCTGAAAAGGCAAAACCATGTTGCACTGATGTACCCGGTGGTGGGAAGCAGCTTCTCAGGTGCCACAATAACCACTTCAAGATACTAACTGCTTGTCAACACGGCCCCAGCGCAAGCCTTAATCTGGTCATTAACTCCGAGCTCATTTAATTGTCCCAAATCAAAATGATGGATATCTTAATAAACCAGACAATCGCCGTTTCTCTGCCCTCACCACCCGAATTCTGGGCAGCTTCAGGGAAAGCTGAAACCGAGATGCTCTGCAGCCTCTTCCCCTCAGCTTCTTTAATTCCTGCTCTGCTTCTGTACCGACACTTTCTGGTCTTTCCCTGCCCAGAAGAGCAGGAGCGGGGCTGTCCCGGGAGCGGGAACATCCCACCCTCACCGCCCGGGTTTTGTTCCTCTGCAGCCCAGACCCACACCTCCAGCCCAGCGCAATCGCCCGGTTGCTTTTTGTTATGAAAAAGAAAGCAAGAAAAGCCCAGATCTGGTCATTTCACAGCGAGATGCTCAAGTTCCCTCCCGGACGTGCAGCGCTTGCCAGGGGACAAACGCGTCCCCTCGGCGATTTTGAGGCGGGTTGTGTCTGTTTCCACGGGTGCCCCCGCACCTCCAGCTGCCCAAGGTCTGAGAGTACCTGGTGGTACTGAAGGTAAAAAACATCCATTTAATGATATTTCCAGATCTAGGCAATTAAAATACATAAGGAATATCTGATCCGTCATGAATGAGCCAATATAATAAAGATTCTCAGACTATTCAATTAAATATTTAACCTGCTTAGAAAATAAATCTAACGCTTAATAATTAACAATTCTGAAGGCAGCAGAATCCTGTTTAATAGGGTGTAGTGTGCAGAACTTGTGTCCATGGTAATTTATAGACAGTGTGAATGACTAAAACAAAAGAAAAAAATCTCTCAATATGTTACATGAACACCTGATCACCTAGAAGCTGACTTATTTTTGTTTCCTGGAAGTCCAGCAGCCCCACTATGTTTTCATTTGCTAGCCACAGGCACAGAGGTAATCTGTCTGTCCCAACTAGTCAAGGCAAAATAAAGGATAAAGATGCATTCCCCTGTACCTCTCGTGTTCTGTCATTAAAACACAGAATTTTGGAAACCTCAGGTAGTCAATGAAAAGCTAAAAGGATGATTACTTAAGTAGTTCACAATCTGCAGAAAAACCTATTTTTCTGGCAGGATAGTATGGCATGAGAATTTATGCAGGTGCATGTCAGTCAAAATCTCCCTGTGGTGAAGGTTAAGAGTCCAATTATATGGTGAGATTCTGGGTAATCTAAAATTATTTCTGATGCTAAAGTAGTAACAAAGGCATAAAATCACCCTTGAGACTCCTAAGGTGTCAATGGCCATGAGATACAATTTATATCCCTCTATCCTTAACCATACGGAGTCAACAAAAAGGAAATTATGTTTAAGGAATCAAGGCTTCTCATCACTGAAAATCTCTTTATTAGTACAGGGATGTCATATTTTGCTGTTGGTGTACTAATAATTCTGCTAGAACTTCTGTGAAGACACTTTATTCTGTGGAATGAACTGAACTACTTATGGGTGTGAGCCTGTGTCAGTGGAAGACAGACATTTTTTATTGAGACAGCTTCTTAGATAGCAGGTACAGTGAAGAGCAATAAACCAGCAGAGGTGAAATAAACCAGTAAATTTTAGATTACAAACATTGAGAATGAGTTGCTGTTCATAATTCTTCCTTGATACTAGGAAAATATATGTTTTTATTATGTTGGAGCCAATTCTACACTTGCTAGTGCTAGTAGAACGTGTCTTCTGCTAAAGTACATTCTCAGAAAGGCTGCTCAGAAATGGATGACAAAATCAACATAGTTTTAGTTGCTAATAAATAGGTGTCACAAAAACCAGCAAATGCAGATGGCTCATTGTGTGATGACACTGAAAGAAGAATTCAGAGGAGGTGTTAAACAATAAGGCAAAAGTGTTAGTAATGATCCTTTGGTACATGCCTAGTATTGAGGATGCAACTCACACAGCTGAGCATTTGACAACTATATAAAAACAAAACATAAAATAGAATCCAACCATCACCTTTTCAATCAAAATAAATGCAGATAAAATTTCAGCAGAGATGGCAGTTTCCATGTCTATGGCACTGTGATGCTCCTGTATGACATGTGTGTGCAGTAGCTTATATCCTATATCCTGAAATCAAGATGAGAGAACTCTGAAGTTAACTAAGAGTTTGATCAAAGACACATTCAAGGACATGACTGGATAATTTCATCTGATAACGCCAGGAGCTGCTGAGGAACATGGCAGGGTTGGAGAGAGTCAGTCATCAAACTAAAGTCTCACAACAGGCGTGTAGAAAAAGTGCTCAAAGGTGGTTCCTCCCTGCTGGAAATGATCCCATATGTGGGTCCTCTCTGCTAGAAAATGACCAGATAGCCTCTCAAAAAGGCTAACCTTTCAGATACAGTGATTTCAGTTTATAGGATAGGGATACAGGATTTATAACACTTGAGTAGTAACTGAGTTCATCATCAGGCTTATAGATTTGTCTGTATTCATAGAAAGGCTAATCATAAAGTCATTGTTTGACTTACACTGTAACTTTCTTTAGAGAGTTTATTGGGCAGTATCGAAGAGAAAGACATTCTTATGTAAAAAGAATCCTATTTAGAACTTGTTAATTTTATTATGTTTTACCTGCTGTATCATATTCATTAGTAATTCAGAATCTTTTACTGTTCGAGTTCTTTTGACTTTCCTTTTTTTTTTTTTTCCCCCCCCCCTCCTTCGGGCCGGCTCGTGTCTCTGGTTTTTGACACGTTTCCTTCGCTGGGTGGGTCGCTGCTTGGTTGTTTTTTTTTTGCTTTTCTATTTTTTTTGACGTGGGGGGAAATTGTCAAGTCCAACGAGGGCGGGTTTTCCTCCCCTTCGTGTTAGAAAGGGAAAAAAAAACGGGCAAAACCAGAAGTAGATCGATTTTTTTTTTCCCCAGTGCCCCACCTTACGCGGTGTCTCCGTGCCGGGGGGTCCCGGGGGGCTCTGGGCTCCCCCCACCCCCGTCCCGCGGCCCCGCTGGGCGGGTGGGAGCGCGGGTTCCCCTCGGGGGGAGCCAGGGGGGTGTTTTCACCTTGAGTTCCTCCCACTCGGGACGCCCAGGCCCGGCCGGGGCCACCTCAGCCACGTTCCCACGCGGGAACTGCGTGGTGATCGCAAGGGCGGGCGGGGCGCGCGGACCCGTCCACGCGTGGGGAGCCCCCCGGGTCACCCCGTGGGCGGGTTGGAGCTTGGGGGGCATCGCCTCCCGTCTCGGGGAGCTGCGGGTTGTTGGTCCGAGGCTCCAGGCAAACCCTATGGAATGTTTTCCTAAGAATTTGCTGCTTTCCCTCGATATTTATGCTCCGTGCTGGAAATAAACGTAGTAAACACGGACAGCTGGAACTTGGGAGGTTTGTTTTTCGGTGCTGGATGTGTTCGGGGAACGGCCGTGAGCTCGAGCGTGCTGGGAGCCCATAAAAACGCTGCTTCATTTCTGGGCAGCTTTTATTTATAGACTTGAGATTTATTTAAAGGATCGGGTTTATTTCAAGGTTGACAAGTTGTATTTTGGGCTGAACCTGTGTAAAGATAGCAGAGGCTTGTGTTCTGCGGCGGGGAGGCTGTGTCGGTCCTGGGCAATAACAAACCTCCCGGGTTCTGTGGCACAGGAGAGCTGTGCCTGCCGTGCCCCCAGCCTGCTGGAGAGAGGGACCGGCTCGGAAAAGCCGGGGTGTGTCCTCCCCTGCCTGAGATGTGACTAAATATCAGGGAAAACCACCTTCCGAAATCTCTACATCGGGTACTTGAACGATTCTTCTGCTTCCCTGCTTGCCAGGCTGGATGATGGAGCTGGAGAGTGTGTTCAGAGAGATGCCTTGGTCTGAACTGCATGCTGGTCTAGCAGAGCTTTACAAAACACACTTCCTTGTTAGCAGTCAGAAATAAACAAAAAAACCCCCAAACCAACCCAAACTAGCAGGTTTGAGGAAGACGGGCTCGTGTCAGTTTGCAGCTGGATTTGCAGAGCAGCTCAGTTGGGTTCACCAGGCTAATGATTTTAGACCTTTTTCTTTTTTAAGCTATTGTTAAAATATCTTTGCTGTGCTGACTTCAAATGCTTCTGATCTTTTTATAGCTAATGATAAAGTAATGGAATCCAAAGAACTGCTTAACTCGTCAGATCAACACGAAACAAGGAAAAATGCGCTCGGCAGTACCAAAGCAGGGATCCTAATGGACTTTCACCCACCCTTCAGGGGTGGAGCTTCTGTACAAGCCCCTGTGTCTGCATCTCCTCTCCCCACGTCTTCTCAGTCAGATTCCAGCCAGCAACCTGCTTTAGCTGACTTTTCAAAAGGATTAGTAAACAATGTGCCTCAGCCAGACCTTTCCAAGGCAGTGTCGCTCTCAATGGGACTGTACATGGGGGAGACAGACTCAAAAGTGATGGGAAACGACCTTGGATTTTCGCAGCAGGGCCAAAGCGGCATCTCCTCTGGAGAAACAGACTTCAGGCTCCTGGAAGAGAGTATTGCCAGCTTGAACAAGTCCTCGAGCCTGGCCGAGGACTTGAAGGGAGCAGGACCTTCTGAGGCACCTCTGGAGCTGGATTTCCCGGGCATGGCTGGCCGCAGCGGCCCCTTGGAGTCGGGAGCTGCAGTCCCAAGCCAGGTTGGCTCGAATGGTGGCAACTTGAAGTTGTTCCCTGAAGACCAAAGCACCCTGGATATTCTCCAGGATTTAGAATTGCCACCGGTGTCGCCTGGCAAAGAGCCCAACGGGAGCCCCTGGAGGCTCGACCCGTTGCTGGATGACGGGGGCTTGCTGTCCCCTATATCTGCAGATGATGTGTTTCTCCTGGAAGGAGGTCTCGGTGAAGACTGCAAGCCTCCTGTTTTGTCTGACACTAAACCTAAAGTTAATGACTGTGGTGACCTTTTACCCAGTTCCAAAATGCCAATGCCTCAAGTGAAAACAGAAAAGGAAGACTTCATTGAACTCTGTACTCCTGGCATAAAGCAAGAAAACATGGGCCCAGTGTATTGTCAGGCAAATTTCCCTGGGTCTAATCTGCTGGGTACTAAAGTCTCTGCCATATCTATCCATGGTGTCAGTACCTCTGGAGGACAGATGTATCACTATGATTTAAATACTGCATCGCTCTCTCAGCAGCAGGATCAGAAACCAATCTTTAGTATCATTCCATCTCTTCCTGCCGGTTCCGAAAATTGGAATAGGCGCCAGGGATCAGGGGATGAGACGTTAGCTCCTTTGGGAACGCTCAACCTCTCTGGCAGACCTGCTTTCTCCAATGGCTATTCAAGGTAATTAGTTTTCATTGCTCTTTATTAAAATACTACAAGTGTTTTCAGCGCAGCCGTGTGCCTGCTGGTTTGTTTGGGTCTTTTTCCTTCTGAAGTTGGTCCTGCCTTTTCCGTTTGTTAAGTATCCCTGGCTGATCAGACACCTCTGGTGTGTTTTTATTCCATGTTACAGTAGCAACTTTAACCAAGTACTGGGCATTGGTATTGAAGGGAGGAAAAGAGGAGGGGAGCTGATATGCTTTAAAAAGAAATAATAATTTAAAAATGTCTAAGAAACAACCTAGAGGGAAAATGGAGTACGTGGTGGACAGATCTGTGCACAGGGGAGTACAGAGGGAAGTATTTAGGTGTGTGCAAAAACGACTGCATTCTCAGGTGTTAGAGGATCAGTCACTGTGTGTTGGTTCTTGGTTTGTTTGGGTTTTTTCTTCGTAGTGTTACTTAAATGTTATGCACAAAAATAACTTGGTTGCTGGGTAAAATTCTGGGATTGCCTTTAAGCTGAACTAGAGGTTTAGCTTTGCTTGGTATTGCATTTACCTTACATGGACAAGAAGATTCTGGGTAGGAAATACTCATCAGTTTGTTTAATAACTGCATTTAAAGAGCTAAGAATATTTGCAGTAAGATTTAAACATAACTGCAATTTAACTCTTACACAGAAGTGTGGAGGAGGGCTTGTCCAGGGGTGGTTTTCTGAGAGCAGGGTGTTTCCAGGGAGCTGGTCGGTACGTATTTAGGTGACTTTGTAGTAGTGTTTTCTTCAAGCAGCTCACTGGTGCAGATACTGAAGAAAAACACTTCTGTGCCCGTGAAGGGAAAGCTGGCTGGGCACAGCCTTGGGGGGGTGGCTCTGGGGGCAGCCAGCGATGGTTCCCAGCTCAGGATGAACACCTTGTTGTGTGTTTCCCGCAGCTGCTCTTTGTTTGACACACGCTGACACGGCGGTGCCCGGGGTCAGCAGGGGAAGAGGTTTCCACCCTGTGTCTGTGGAGTCTGAGTTAGAAAATGGCTCTTTGAGTCCATGTGCGTAGACATGGTGATTGGGGAATTTTAATGGATTATCTGTTTTAAGCTTCATTTTTGTATTGCCCCACTGACAACTGGTCCCCAGAGTGTGATCCACTGGTCCTGGGGTTCTCTCCTCACATTCTTTGCTCTGGTTTCCCACGGTTGGAATGAGGTGTGTGAGGGTTTCTTCTTTGTTTCAGAAAGACAACTTTTAATTTTCTTTCATTCTAGATTTTTTCCACAGTCTTTGGTTTTTGTAGTGGAGATGTGGGTTTTCTTCTTTGAGGCATTTAGAACAATTTGGAGTGTAAGGAGTCCAGAAAGGAAAATCAGGATTTGTGTATAGATTCCTCTTTGCTATGTGAATATTGACTGTGCCTTATCATTTAATTTGTGTTAACCTTTTGCATTATCAGTCTAACTTCTGTGTTGGTTTTCCTTTGCTTCATGGGGTTTGTTTTGTTGTGTATCTGCAATGGCAATCATGATGAAATCTGTATCTGTTTCTGGGTTTGGGAGGTGAATTTCGGTGACTGTTTAAGTAAGCAGATTCCTTGTAGATAATGGAAATGTCACTTTTGAGAATACTTCTCTAAAGTTCATGCATTGTTTTAATTTTACAGAACTATCAAGACAGAGCCAAGCAAATGGTTTACATGTAAATGTTTGTCTGGCCTTTGGGGAATTTCATAAACACCAGTTTTCCATACTGTGTTTCTGATCGTGTTGTGACGAAAAACCCACTGGAGCTACTCATGCATGCACAGTATATCTGATCTGGAGTGAAAAGGACAGCAGTGCTTGATGTTATCGGTGCTTTTGTGAAGCAATGCTGAGGAGTGAGCGTGTGTGCTGGGGAGAGCAGGAGGCAGGTGGCCTGGGGGAGCTGGCAGCAGCCCCCCAGCCCAGCCCAGCCCAGCAGCCCCCATTCCCGTCCCCAGTGAAGGAAGGAGCATCCTCAGCATCACAGGAAAAGGTTCTGCCTCTGCTGACCAGGGGGTTTTACCTTCAGGCTTCCTGCCAGGTTGTCTTACATTTCGTTGCTTTCTTTTGCCTTAAGATAATGGAATATTTTATATTTTTTTTTTTAAAAAATAATAATTTAAGGGATGTGTAAATAAGTTTGGGGCTCCTAGTTGTGTTTTGCATAAAAATTCACTTTTTCTGGCCTTTTTGAAAGCTGTTCTTACTTCCCAAGGATTTCTACACACTGAAACTACCCAATCCAATTCTAAAAACAATGTTGTTTGGCTTTGTATTTTAAAAAATGATTTATAATTAATAGAGGCAGCTCCATCCTCTTTCTGCAGTGTTTGACATAGTAATGAACCCTGGGTTTGAAGCAGGAGTTTTCTTTCTTCCTGAACCTTGTCAGAAATACTTGGTCTAAACTGGGTTAGTTTAAGGTGATGTATTCTGGATTTGTTTGTTTATCTTACAGAGGACTTAACAAAATTGGTATTTGTTTTAGAAACAAAGGAAGGACTGGCTTGCCAGGTTCCCATGGTCTTTTTTTTTTTTTTCCCTCTTTTTTTTTTAGGTACTGATTGTGTGAGGGGAAGGCTGGGGTTTTGAGAATTGGGAATTGTTCAACTTCAGTTTCCAATAGGAGGTGCTTCTAGGTTTGGTGGAATTATTTGACCCTCATAACATATTAAATTTATACTAAATATATGGGAAGAAAAGCTGCAGTTCTGTCCTGGTATTCAGGTGGTACTTTAAGTGACTCTTAAAGGCAAGTTTGTGAGCATGTAACGTCTGTATGGACATGTGCTCTTGAGTTGATCTCGTGTAATTTTTGAGTGATTTTGCCTATAAGGATAGCACAGCATGCTGGCTGAGACAGGGGCTACTAAGGGCTGAGGAAACTCGTCGATTTTCCTGTGAAGGATGGGAGATGTTCTGAAGTTAACAAGCACTAACTCCAGGGATCTGTGTGGTGGGAATGAACCAGCACTAGCCAGTGAGTTGCTGTCAGTGTCTTGGGGTGGTGGAAGAGTCTGTTGATGCATGTGCTGAGGGATCTGCAGCTCCCTGTCTCAGCAGGTTCCTGCAAAGAACAGGAACAGCAGCTCCATCAGGGGCAGCTCCAGGCAGGGCAGCTCCATCAGGAGCAGCTCCAGGCAGGGCAGCTCCATCAGGAGCAGCTCCAGGCAGGGCTGCGTGGGCCGGCTACCCAATGGGCACAGGGAGCCAACTGAGGATACAGTGAGTAGAGTAAAAGAGGAAGGAGAAATTGGGCTAACTGAGCAAATCTGCTGTAGATTTTCTTTATCAGAAGTGGGATAGTATCTGGAAGAGAAGTAAACCAGACTGAAAGCATTTGGTAAATGCTTCACTGAAGAATTAGAGGGTTTGTTGTTGTCTGTCTCTGGGATATGTTTGTGATTTATTACACGAACACCAGTGAAAATTGTTAAATTTCAAGGAAATGTTTTTAGCAACAGACACTCATAAGGCTCTTGTGTGGTATATACATTAAATCCATTGCTTGACTTTTTTATTCCTCTGACTTCCCTGAGCTGTGTCCTGCTGTGGGGGACGAGGAGCAGCAGCGCGGGGGCTGCTGAGCGCGCTTTCCCTTCGCCTGCAGCCAGAGCTTACAAGAGCTGGGCCCCACTGGCAGTGTTACTGCTTCTCTTATTACATTTGAAATCATTCCTAGTACTCGGGCTTGTGGGGGATAAGGATCATTAAGGAAGTTTAAGAAAGGGCAAGAGCTGAGGGAAGCCAGGAAAGAGGAGGAGAAGCTGGAAGGGGGAAGAAGTTTTGCTGATGGGTCCTGGCCCCAGAGCCTCGCTGCCAGGAGACACCTCTCTGCTGTCACTCTTTAACTGGGATTCCTCTTGGACTTGGATGTTGTACTAGAAGGAAAGGGAAAAAAGGGATTGTTTGCTAGAAATGGTAAAGGTCAGTTGTCCGTTTGTCTTGCTGCATTGTTTCAGCTTGGCTTTGGGCCAAGGCCAGTGGCTTGGCTCGGTTGGATGTAGTACTTGAAATGTTGTCTGACTCAGCAGTGTGTAATGTATGGTGCATATGGAAATATGTGTCCTTTTTAATAATTCTGCTTCAATATGAAAACCAGACTTGTTATTTGGAGTGCTCAGGGTTTCAATAGTCTATGTTGTGATTTGTCAGCTTAATGTAATGCTGCACTTGGGCTTTGAGTCTTGGAAACACATGACAAACACTGGAATTGTTTTGGCAGGAAGGGGGGAATCGAGAGTGCCCTGCAGAATGTGCTGCCAGACACCGTGGGGAGGGTCCTAGGTAGATGGTAGCTCATGTAAGATATAATCCACTTTTTCCAATTTCAGCTGATCCATACAGCTAGCTTACAGCTGAGTAGGTTTTTATAATTCCAACCTAAACTGTTAATTTCTGCTAATTTACTTCCCCTACAATGATCTCTATTTTAAGCCCAGTTGTAGCTTGTAAAAACACAAACTGTTTTTTATTGCCCGTTGCATTTTTTCATCCACCTTAAAAAATGGTTGAACTCCATTGTACTTTCCTGCTGCCAGTGAAAGCAGAACTACAGTTGAGCCAGCCTGTTCCCAAATCCTCTCATAAATGTGAAATACATGTGTTACACAACTCCTACATCATGTATTTACTGTGTTAAAGATGACTTGCACAGTGAGAGGAAGTGGCCTTGGACATGTAAATGTCCCTTTTTGCTTTGACTATTACTGCTCATTCTGGAAATGGACAAGTGGCAACAACTCTATATGTGTATATATAACCCAAACTGGAATTATCTCTACATATTAAAAGCTTACCAAGTCCTTCTCTCCTCCTGCGTCCCCTTTTCTAGCTACCACCTAATGGATGGGCCTTTGGGGGCTTCCTCTATTTTTTTAAATTCTTTTTTTTTTTAAGTGTTGACCAACTTCAAGTGGTGAAAATCACAGAGGAAGAACCTGGAACTGCTGTCTTGGATGTGATGCTTGTACCAAAGTTTGTGTTTACCTTCGTTACCCTTTGCA